TATTTTAGGGAATGCAGATCATAGAATCCCAGCATGGCCTGGGTTGCAAAGGCCCACAGCGCTCCTCCAGCTCCAACCCCTGCTGTGTGCAGGTCGCCAACCAGCAGCCCAGGCTGCCCAGAGCCACATCCAGCCTGGCCTTGAATGCCTGCAGGGATGGGGCATCCACAGCCTCCTTGGGCAACCTGTGCCAGTGCCTCACCACCCTCTCAGTGAAATACTGTTCAAAAACACTGCACAAATGCTTTGCTTTTCCATTTAAGTTTCCTGAGACAGCCACAACTCTGCATATTGCTGGAGCAACTGAACAGCGTCCAGTCCAAAAATAGTTGTTGGTATTAGTCAGAGAAAGTAAATATTTGTGCTGGCATCACAACATTATTGGTCTCACTTACGCCTAGAACCACAGAACAATTGAGGCTGGAGAGGTCACCTGGGTGAATACCCTGCTCAGAGCAAGCTAGCTACAGAATCCAATCTTTGCTGCACTGTCACGTCACATAGCCAGCAATGAGTGCAGAAAGCACCAGCTGAGCAGCCCAGTGTAACATCCAGGCACTGCTCAAATCATTGCAGCAAGCCAGCCGAGGGCAGCGTGCGAGCAGGTTGATGCTCACAGCAGCACAGGAGCAAAGTTGCTTATAACTGCTGCTCAGAAGTAGACAGGAGTCTGCATAGCAACAAACTACACCACCGTGAGGTGGGAGGAAGTTTTTAAATGGCTAGCAGTATGGGAATTTGGAGTAGAAGAGAAAAAGCAAAGGTTATGGAATGGACTGCCCAGGGAGGTGGTGGAGTCACTGCACCTGGGGGTGTTCAAGGAAAGGCTGGATGCTGTGTTGAGGGACATGGTTTAGTGGGAGCTATTGGGAATAGATGAACGGTTGGACTGGGTGATCTTTTAGGTCTTTTCCAACCTTGGTGATTCTATGATTCTATGAGTCTACGGTTATGGAAAGGAACAGTCAGGCCATGCTATGACTCCACGATCCCTTCTCAGCCATTAAGTTTCTGCCCAAAACAGCCACACTCCAGATCCACCAGCAAAAACTTTCATTTGCTCACCTTGCCCACTTCCATCCAGGTGGTCCACAGCACGTTAGCACTTGTGCTGCTCTTCTTTCCTAACACATCGCTGCCATGAAACTGGGTTAGGGGCAATGACAGCACGCACAGGGAACAGCTTGTGCAGGGGACAGGGGATGTATGGAGAGCAAAGACAAACAACTACAGCGGGCAGAAAGGAACCCACAAGGTAACAGCAACCAGGAGGCAATCAATGCCCAGCTTCTAAGAAATACAAAAACATCAGGCTGTGCGAGCAGCTCTGCAGGAGAAGAAAACAACAAAACCTCAGACAGAAAGGAAGCGCTTCCCCACGCACAGCCCTTCACATGAGATGGGCTCACAGGAAGCGCTGGGCGGCGAGCCCTGTCTGCTCAGCTCCCAGTGGGCGTCCAGCATTGATTCAACCATCAAGCTGCAAAGGATTAAAAAATCCTTAAATTACTAATTGCACAGAATCACAGAATGGTTTGGGCTAAAAGGGACCTCAAGGATCACGAAGCTCCAACCCCCCTGTGCCATGCAGGGCCACCAACCTCCCCATTTCACAGCAGCCCAGGCTGCCCAGGGCCCCATCCAACCTGGCCTTGAACACCTCCAGGGATGGACGGGGCATCACAGCCTCTCTGGGCAGCTGTTCAGCACCTCACTGCTCTCAGAGGAAAGAACACACAGTGCAGTGTTGGGGGATGACAGAAAACAGAGACTGCCCAACTATCTTGTTTCCATGCCCTTCTCCTACATAACACTCAGTGCATCAGCTCTTCAATTCTCAGATGTTAAAAGCGCCCAGTCTACCTAAAAAAAAAAAAAAAAACACCTTCCAGACTATTTTGTTGCAACATTTTTTTGTTGGAGGTGAAGAAGGCAGAAGGCTCCCCACAAGTTAAGGCTCAATGAACTTACTTCAGTTTCTGCAGACCCTATATTCATATTGCATTCATGCTGTTAGTAACAAAGAAGCACATGCAACTTCTCAAAGCATTCCACAGTTACAAAGTTTTCCTACATACTCCTGCAAACCGAAGCAGCACTGATTTTTGGAAGTAAAGCAGGTGGGTTTTTTTTATTTTTTATTCTTTTAAAGAGGGAAAACTGCCTGTAGCTCAGAATATGCTCAAAGGAGACCAACACATTCATAAAATCATGGAGTAGCTCAGGAAAGGACCTTAAAGACCATGGAGTCCAACCGCAGCCCAGCCATCCCAGCCCAACTCTACCAGCCCTCCGCTAAATCATGGCCCTGAGCACCACATCCAAACGGTTTGAAACACAGCCAGGGATGGGGACTCCACCACCTCCCTGTCAGCCCATGGCAGTGCTTAGCAGCCCTTTCTGTACAGAAGTGTTTCCTGACATCCAACCTCAACCTCCCCTGGCACCACTTGAGGCCATTTCCCCTCGTCCCGTCACTGGTGAGGTGACATTTCAGTCTATCAGTACAGCAGGTATCAACTGTTCCCTGGACTGTTTCATTCTTAGTCATGGAGTGATGTAAAACTTAGTAGCAAACCGCAAATGTAGCTAAACCTCCTCAGTAATGCAGAGTTATACATTCACATCATTTTCCTAATAGTAGCTGAGTAGCAATCTGTTATCCAGACACAGCAGGAGGCAGAAAAGCTGTCACACTGCACTGATAAGTGGAACTCCACATCCCTCCCAATGGCTGCCGAGCCAAGGCAGCAAAAAGGTAACTCAATCAAATAGAAATGTTTCCTAGAACAGCTGAATGCACTTTTCCCCCTTAGGTCAGTCTAATTCTCCACCTGTTTGTAGAACCACGCACTGAATGCCCATGACTCATGTTGAGTGGAAGACAGAGCACTGGAAGGACAGCCTGAGCATCTAGCTGGGTGTCAGCAATGGCTTCGCACAGCCCTGCTGACAACACCCTCCTCACCACAGAATCCCAGCATGGCCTGGATTGCAAAGGCCCACAGCAGCCCAGAGCCACATCCAGCCTGGCCTTGAATGCCTGCAGGGATGGGGCATCCACAGCCTCCTTGGGCAACCTGTGCCAGTGTGCCATCAATCACATTCTCACCACATGAATCACCAACCATTACAAGTACATAAAAGAACCTGTTGCAAGGCCCTCCGTACTTGTATTTCCACTTTCAGCTCCCCAGAGTCATGCTGTCCTCTGTTTACTTCCCTGTTAATCTTGGAAACCTAAAATCATCGAGGACCTCAGCCACTTCCTCCAAGCCTTCTCTGACATACAACGCCTCTTTCACAGCCTGATATAAAAGACAAACAGTCTCTTATCAAGAGCCAGCTCCAGCATGACGTCAGTAAAAACACAATTAAATAATGGCTTCTCAAGGTAAAGCAAAGCCATCGCTAAATACAGCGAGCACAAACTACCCTTGCATCTTTTTCCTTCTTATGTTTAGAGATAGCTTATTGCATATCACCCCTTGCTTTTCAGTTGTAGCAGTGTAGGTTTAAAGGATGAGATCTAGAAAATCTACTTTCAAGGCCAGGTTGGATGAAACCCTGGGCAGCTATGAAATGTGGAGGTTGGTGGCCCTGCCTGCAGCAGGGGGTTGGAGCTTCGTGATCCTTGAGGTCCCGTCCAACCCAAACCATTCTGTGATTCTGTGATATTTAAAAGGCTCTCGAATTAGCAGACAGCTCATCTGCAGCCAGCAGCATGCTGGCAGAAGTTCTTCTACTTAATTGCAGAGGCACAGGAATTGTTAGTGTTACAATAACCCACACAATAACAATAACACAGCTAAGTAACCCTCTCCACTCAGCAGCCTATGGAGCAGCACCACACCTTCACTGCAGGAATGAGAAAACACAGGAAAAGAAACCTGGCTCAAGAGAAAGAAATGACACGCAACAGTAATCACAGCCTGAGAACTGCACGAGCCCTTCACTGCAAGCCTCATACCGAGTGTCAGATGGCACGGCAACACTTTTAATAAGCAAGACTTACCCTGCAGAAACCCCTACTGCTGTACCACAGGGATCACATAAAGGCTCCAATATCCCCTGTGCCATGCAGGGCCACCAACCTCCCCATTTCACAGCAGCCCAGGCTGCCCAGGGCCCCATCCAACCTGGCCTTGAACACCTCCAGGGATGGACGGGGCATCACAGCCTCTCTGGGCAGCTGTTCCAGCACCTCACCACTCTCACAGCACACAACTTCCCCTGACATCCAACCTCCATCTGCCCTCCCTCAACTCCAAACCATTTCCCCTTGTCCTGCTGTCATCTCCCCTTTCCAAGAGCTGACTCCCCTCCTGTTTGCAGGCTCCCCTGGAAGGCTGCAATAAGGTCATAGTGCCAAACCAGCATCTTTACGGCACAGGCACTCCAGCAGCACAAGCAGAGCAGCTCACATCGCTGCTGACCCGCAGGCAGTGCCGTGCAGCACGGAGGCACCTGCAGAGCTGTGAGCGGCCTGCACGAGGAGCCCGAAGGGCCGTAACAGCAGCACAGCACAGCACAGCACAGCCACCTCACCTCACACCTTCAACACCTTCAGACTCCGTCGTAAGCACGCTCTGAGCGCAAGGCTTCCTTCCATCACAGCATAACAACAACGAAATCCCGAGGAACGCAGGTCGGCAGGAGCGGGCATCCCCTCACCGCGCACACGTCGGGCGCTTCTGCCCTCGTTCCCACGCACCCGAGGAAAGAGCAAAGCTCCCCAAAACCAACCCGGAAAGCTCAAATCGTGCTGCTGGGGCGGAGATCCGGCAGCGCAGCGGCACGGGGCAGCGCAGAGCGGAACGCGGCGGGAATAACGCGGGGAAACGGGGCGGCGGGGAGGTGGGCGATCCGCCCCACAACGGGTACGGCGGCACCGCCACCCACCGCCCGGCCGGCAGACAAAGGGGCGAGGAGGGGTGCCGGGAGGAGGACGAGGACGCGGCAGCCGCCCCGCCGCGAGTCGCCGTGCCCGCCGCGCTCACCCATGCTGCGCCCGCCCGCCCGAGCTCGGCGGAGCGGCTCCTGGTCCCGCCGAGGCGCTCAAGCCGGGCACGGCGGCTCCATCCGCGCCGCTCCGGACGTCAGGGCAGCTCCGAGCCGCCGGCGGCCCGGGGAGGAAGGCGGGGAGGGGGGAGGCGGCCGCGCAGCCGTCCCGTCGGTTCGCCGCACCGAGCGCCGTCCGACAGCACCGCCCGCCGCGGGGCCGCCGCCGCCAAATCCCGCGAGAGCCGCGCGCCACCGCCCCCACGCCGCGCGCCGTTGCCAGGCGGGATGACGTCACGGCCTTTCCCCCTCTCCCCCCCCGTGCCGCTCCTACGGAGCGGGCGGCGCTGCGCGCGCTGTGCCATAGCCACAAATTAGGGGCGGGGGGGACGGTGCAGTTTGAGCCCGTTATCCCTGGCTCTGCCGCTGGGCGCTGTGAAAAGAGCCCAGTTCCCACCATGGGCTTTCATAGAATCCCAGCATGGCCTGGGTTGCAAAGGCCCACAGCGCTCCTCCAGCTCCAACCCCTGCTGTGTGCAGGTCGCCAACCAGCAGCCCAGGCTGCCCAGAGCCACATCCAGCCTGGCCTTGAATGCCTGCAGGGATGGGGCATCCACAGCCTCCTTGGGCAACCTGTGCCAGTGCCTCACCACCCTCTGCATGAAAAACTTCCTCCTCATATCCAACCCAAACCTCCCCTGTCTCACTTTACAACCACTCCCACCCAAAACCTTTGCCCCCATTTGAAGCTTCTCCTCAGTTTTTGGACAGGCTTTCCTTGCTTCATGAACACGTTTCTGGGCTTTGTGCGTTGGTTGGGGATAATTCATAGCATTGTGTGGGTTGGGTTTTTGTGGCCAAGATGTACTTCTTAAAGAGAAAAAAGAAGCACTCAAAGCGATATCAGGCTGCCAGCACTCAGGTTTTTGTGGGAAACACAGGAAGAGTGAAAACGGCCGCTGCGAACCAAACGGATTTAAAGAGAAGCAGTGACCCGGAGGCCAGAAGGGCACGTAAACACGTGTGGTTGTGGTGCAAATCTGGGGACGGCAGTGCAGCTCCGCGGTGGAAATGTTCCGCCTTCCTGCTGCAGAACCTGCTGTGGGCGGCTCAGGAGGAGCCGTTTCGGCCCAGCCCATGGCAAAATTAGCCTGAAAAGAATGCCAAGTATTTCCAGGAGCCAGCTTTGGCTGAGCGTCCTTCTCGTGAGATGTGCACAGAAAATGAGTCAGATAATGAGTACTGGAGGCGTGATGTGAAGGCTGGGGCAGTAAAGAAGCTCAAAGAGTCTCCTTCTCTGGAGATGTTCAAGACCTGCCTGGATGCCGACCTGTGCGACCTGCTGTAGGGAACTGCTTTGGCAGGGGGTTGGACTCGATGATCTCTGGAGGTCCCTTCCAACCCCCACAGTTCTGTGATTCTGTGATTCTGTGTGATCCAAATCACGTCCCAGTTTGGTATTTCATCTCCTTTATGGTGTTTTAACTGGAAATGCACAAGTAATTGTGAGAATTTCCTTCAAGCACGTAGCGTTCAAACCTGATGAGTGGTCCCATGGTATTCCCTGTAAAGGAGAGTCTTTTTAATTAAGGTATAACTCTCTGCTTCCCCCAGTGGATTTATAACAGCTGATAGTAAGAGATTTGGGACTGAAGGGAAACCTTATCTTTAGAGTTTGAAGTCACCTCCAACAAGAATTGAGCAAATAGCTTTCAGAAGGCTGAATTCTCTCTTCTGTTTTAGGTGTTTTTTCCCCACTTGCTCTGAGGAACAACACGCTAAGAAAAGGATAAAGGCTGAGATGAGCTCTGATCCAGTGTAGCAATCTTGCTGAGACCCCCTTAAGGCTAAGGATGAAACAAGAGGTGAGGGATAAAATACTCATGGCACACACACTTACAGAGGAGCTCTGCGCAGCCTCCTTTTCAGAAGCTCCTTCCAATTGCTGCACCATTTCCAGCTGTGCACCACGCTGATGCTCGCACCGACATCAGGCCAGCCGTGCCCCTCTCTTTGCTCTGCAACTCAGCGGAGAGCAGAGCAGTGATTCTCAGTCTGCACACCAGTGTTTGCAAAAATGCAGGTCTGCTCGTGTGTGAGTTACAGCGTCATCGGGGCTGCACTGTGCTCCTGTGAGTGGGCACTGATAGTGAGCAGCAGGAAACGACATCTGTGCCAGGCTAACAAGCTCAACTATTAACCGTTATGGCTCAGCCATTGAGCTGCATGACTTCTTCCTTACCTGTCTGATGTCAAGAATTTTGGATGTGGTGCTCAGGGCCATGATTGGGCAGAGGGCTGTTAGAGTTGGGGCAGGATGGCTGTGCTGTGCTTGGACTCCAGCATCTTTAAGGTCCTTTCCAACCTGAGCAGTTCTATGTTTCCATGTGCTGAATGTTTGTTTACTCATAATGACTTTCTAAGTAAAATACCTTCTTAAAAAAAGAGAAAAAAAAGCACTTGTTTTGCCACTCTGGCAATCTTAAAAGTACTCTGCTGCTTCCAGATGGAGAAACCTGAACGTGGATGTTCCACAACTTCACCCCAGAGGACAAGGAATTAAAGGAATTTCATTTATGAGCCAAAGTCACGTGTCAGCTCTTACCAGGTTATGGTTTCACATCCACTGGAGTAGCAATAACTGAATAATTGAGTGTTCCCCAATGTTGTTTAACCAAATAGCTTGCTCCTGGAATTACAGATGGTCTGTTTTTCATGCTTTTGACACTGTGTTGCTTTTGTGGCAGCTACTTCTTGCACAGCCACATCTGTAAATATCACATGGAAGCACACGGCCTGTAGTGTTCAGGAGCTGCACAGTCTTGACTGCAAAATTTCTGCTTTTGTTTTGAGATCATTCCTGTGAGGTAACATAACATTACTGAGAAAATATAGCATAAAATAAAACAAACAAGTTTCAGAAGTGAAAAAATTATTTAGAAGAGAAAACTCCCTCTGCTGGTTTGAAGAAGCTGCAGAAAGATATTGAAGTTTTTCCCCAGAGGGTGGTGAGGCACTGGCACAGGTTGCCCAAGGAGGCTGTGGATGCCCCATCCCTGCAGGCATTCAAGGCCAGGCTGGATGTGGCTCTGGGCAGCCTGGGCTGCTGGTTGGCGACCTGCACACAGCAGGGGTTGGGACTGGAGGAGCCCTGTGGGCCTTTGCAACCCAGGCCGTGCTGGGATTCTATGGTTCTATGATATATTTCATTTCCAAAACTACAAAGCAGGGGAAAATACTCATACAGTGTGCACTCACTATTATTCATTTCATCCTTAGCTGAGAAAGAATCTGCTTGTTCCACAGGGTGACGTGGGACTCCCAAATAGAGGTATAAATAAATACAGTCACAGAGCAGTTGCTTTGTACACAAAAACTGTAACAAAAAATATCTTTTCAAGGAGGGGGAAAGTACTGTTAATCCTATTATCTCATGTAGGGCTTTTCTCTTGTGTGTGTTTTTTTTTTTTTTCTTTTTTTTCCTTTATTTAAAGAAGCAGAACCAACTACTATCTTTCCTTTCTTCTCCCCCCACAACAGAGACTCCTTTAAATGGCACCTTAATGGTTACAGGGCACTGAGGAAGGCTCAAACCTTGATAACTACAGCACAGCTCCCTCCATCCAGGTAAAGACAACTGGTTATAGCCTTTTCTCTGGATCATTGCTAAAGAAAGATTACAAATACCATACCTAAAGGGAATACCTAAAGTAGTGTACCTGAAGAGAGCCTGCAAACAGGAGGGGAGTCAGCTCTTGGAAAGTGGAGATGACAGCAGGACAAGGGGAAATGGTTTGGAGTTGAGGGAGGGCAGCTGGAGGTTGGATGTCAGGGGAAGTTGTGTGCTGTGAGAGTGGTGAGGTGCTGGAACAGCTGCCCAGAGAGGCTGTGATGCCCCGTCCATCCCTGGAGGTGTTCAAGGCCAGGTTGGATGGGGCCCTGGGCAGCCTGGGCTGCTGTGAAATGGGGAGGTTGGTGGCCCTGCATGGCACAGGGGGTTGGAGCTTCGTGATCCTTCCAACCTGGGCCATTCTGTGATTCTGTGATTCAGTACTGTGCTCGTGCAGATGATAGTAAGGGATTTCATATGGTGGTTTCCAAGCTACTGAAAGATTCCTTCAGTAGTGCCATATTTTTCAAAGCACAGACTGTGGGTCATTGGTGATCTATGAGAAGTTAGGAGCTGGTTTGCAGAATACTGGAATCTGGCTTTGTGAGCTGCCTGCACTCTCATGGGCACGTGTGGAAACAGCAACTGTGTGTGCTGAGCTCAATCAGAGCCCCAGCGAGTGCCATTTCTGTAGCCGGCTTTTGTTGGTACAGAAATACTGCCTTCAAATTTACTTATGCACCACATCCAGGGCTGAATGCTTTGGCAGCTCTGAATGAACTATCAGCAATAGAACTCCCGTTGCACAGGTGTGAAATAAAGTATTTCTAATTGTCCAGTCTGGAAGGTAAATGACCAGGGGATGGGGGCTGTTGGAAATCCAGGCTAAGAAGAAGCCTGAATTTATCATCTCTCTGCCTCAGGGCCATTATCAGAGTGTACTGAAAGACTGGTTACTCCGTTACATTTTTTCTTCCTTATCTCTTTTGAGGGTTTAATTTGTTGATAGTGGGCTCTTGCAACAACTTAACGCAAAGCTGCAAACAGCAGGAAGCGTGGGGAGAAGCTCTGCCCCAACAAAAATACTTTTTCTCTAATAACCACTTCCCCCCTTCCCTTTCAGGTACACTGACCATTTGGCATTCACACTGAGTTCCTTTGGCAGGCACGGCTTATAACTTCCTCGTATTAACATCTAGCACAAAGAAATCTCATCTTCAGGCTCCAGCAGGCTAATGGCTTCCTTCAGCATCTGAATACATCAACGGCTGTGGCTGCAGCCGTTTTATCTGACCGAACCGAGAGCAGCCCAAAACCTGCTTCTGCACCAGGAGGGGATAAAGGAGCATTTCTTCTGCAAGGAAGGCTTCCCACAGAACGTACAGAAATGCAAACATCATACTTCCTTCTCTCCACAGTTCTCATTACAGCAATCTGAAGGCAGAATGTTTACTCAAAAGGGAGCACGTCTCTAAA